GTCTTAACTGACAATGGAACTATTAGTCACTATGAATTAAGATGGACAAAACGGTTAAAATTTTTTGAAGGAGGTACTCTATAAAAAGAAAAAATAGAAGTGACAAAGTATGACCTGGGCAAGGTCCTGGATAAAGTACCTAAACAACTGTGTTAAGGAAACATATTTAGGGATTTGATATGAAGCTCACTGAAATGAATGGCAAAGTTCCCACCAACTTTAACGGTAGAGATCAAGGCCTAGGTCCAAGGGATATGAATATATTAGAATATAGTTATGTCATTTAAAAACTCTCTTAATATATTCACAATAGAATGGAAGGATAACTCAATTGTTGTTCTTCCTTTTCTAATAAGAATATGCACTTCAGTAGCCTTGAGTGTCACACTTAGAACAAGGTTTCCAATGCCAGTATTCAGAACACCATATTAAAAAATAGTTTTCTGTGAATTTGTACAAGACTGGACTAACATTTGCTATTTCTAGGAGTATCCTTGACGATAAAACAAATACATGTGTGCAAAACAACTACAATAGTGGCATAAAAGCACCTAGGCTTTTGAAATATTTTATTCAAATCAACTGCCAGGGAAATCACTTAAATCACCTTTTTGGCAGGTGTGCCACAAATGAGCCTTGTGCCGTCACCAGATGCCACTCTGGTCCCATTCCTCTACCTAATCTGCTGCTCTGCTTCCTGTTCTCTGCCCTACCTGCTGCTGTGTTGCCAGCCCCTTCCCCGATTGGCTGTGTGCCAGATACAGAGGTCACCTGTGCCATAAATTGGCCAGCCCTGGTTTAAAGCACTGACATTTGCACACTGGCACCTTTAATCCTGTGCTTCATATGGCAGTATTACTAAACACTGGCAGCTATCTGAGTCTCAAAGAATGTAATTTTGTTTCTTCATTTCAGTGACATCTTCACTAGACTATAAGGCTTTGTACCGATTAGTCAGACACAAGGAAAACTACATATTAGTTGAGCTGAAGCTATGATGACTGTAGTTGTCTAACAGTGTCAATCTGCACTTTAAATTAATATAATTTGTGAGTGCCAGACAACAGAGTTATAATAAAAAGCTCATATATTGCCAAGGTAATAAATAATTAGTGAGCATAACTGAATGAAATAGCAGGTTGAGCAGACACCCAAATTTTGAATCTAGACTCAGAAGTCAGTGAGCAGAATGATCCATTTCTCTGCCTTGAATGATAAAACAGCTCTCTCACAACCTAATATGCAGCACCATCTGGCACAAACACAGAGGAGACAGAACTTCTGGAAGTGAAACACAAAAGCAATTTAATTGCTTTAGGAGTGTCCAAAATATTAAAAGAATCCTTCAGAATATGCAGCAGACTTTTTTTTTGTTGCATTCCCTTCCTAAAGATGCGGACCTGCATCTTGTAGAAACATTTATATAGCCGATTATGTCAGCAGAGTGTTACTGAACTGATTTTGTTTATGTGTGAGTATGCTATACAGGTAACTCACTTTCAGAAACAAATGTTAAAATGAATAGCGGGGTATGCCTTATTTAACCAGTCTGAATACACAACAGGACAGATCTGCTTTAGTCTCAGTAAGAAACATAATATAAGAGAGAACTATCAGGAGTCTGGACTACATTTTATATCATAGCTCTGCTTTATATGCAGTTATTAATATTGGTACATGAATAGAAATATTAAACCATGCTTAGCTGAGGGTTATTTTTTGAAAAAAATGTAATAATAGTGACCAATATCACCACATGCGAATCACTGATTGTGAAGTGGTTCCATTTCATGAGCCCTTATCTTTCATGTGTAATTGAAAAGGAAAGCTCTTGTAGTATTGTTAGCTTTGAAAAAGGACTGTGAAACGGTTCTTGCTAAAAACATTATGCAGAATGTACCGTGCAAAATTATTAATCTGTGACGTTTGCCATATACATAGAAATGGAGCTTGCAAGCTGGTTCAAATGAATCTGGCTTCGCCAGTATCACCACATCTCAGTATTCATTTTATTATTGCTTTCTGAAAGTGACTTTTAATGTAGACTGTTTTCTAAATGATCCTTAAAAGACACTCCCTTCCTCCTCATCACCTTCACCTAAAGGCAATCATGTCTAGTAATATTGATCTATTTGCTGCTAGCTTTCATTAATTTTACCCTCCCTAAGGGTGGTTCAGTTTTGGCACCAGCTAATTAAAACCCATTTGGGGCTTCTCAGAACACTTTATAAAACTAGAATTAGCTCTGCTACTTTAGTAGAGACTACACATTTCTCCATTATTGCCAATTAAATGTTTTCCATTACATATCCGAAGTAAAGGGAAAGTACATAACTGCTCACCTGGATTCAGGTAAATACAAAAATATAATAGTTAGTTTTTACCTGGTGCTTCTTGAAATGTACTTTAAATCCTTCCACTTGACTACACTCATTAAATAGCAAAGTAGTAGTGAAGTACTGGGAAATGCTGACATCTTTAGAGTATCCTCTAGGGTAGTATTAAATAAAATGCATTAATGCAGAAGTGTGAATAGCTGCCAACATATATTATTATACACAACAATTATTAAAAAATGTGTGAGTATGCAAAGCATTAATGGAGTACTTAAGAACTCCATTAATAAAGATCTGTAGAAAGACCAGGATTCCCCCAACAGTCTAGATTCAGGTGCATCCCCCTGATGCTGGTAGTCTGTATTTTGTCCCTCTGTAGAATAAAAATTGGTTTGTTTTAAACTGAATACTTCTATTAGCCAATAACAAGTACATTATGAATGGGTAGCCTATGGACTTGATGCTCTACTTCACTGAAATAAATGGCAGAGCTCCATGGACCTCAGTGGGGCAGGATCCAAGCTTATTTGCATTATAGGAGTGACTACAGCACATGCTTTTTGGCTACTTTTCATAACACACACCACAGAATTTGAGCACCATTATGATGAGACTATTTAAAGTCCCATTAATTGCCTAAAGAGATGTTACATCAAAAACCTGAAAGAAAAAGCTCGTTAAAGCCTTGGCAGACAAAAAAATCTGTTGTAATCTTACTATGCATTGGTAGCGCTCACTGTTTGTGAGGATAGTTTTAAGATGAAAATAATTCAAGTTTACAACTCACATGGCATATTTTTTAATGCAAAACACAGCACTGTTCAAGTAACAATTGGAAGCGAGTGTTGATGTTTCTCCTAGGAAATGAAGGAATATTTGGCTGAGATACCTGAAAAAGTTTGTGTCAACATCATAATAGTCTGGTGTGATGCAGGATGCTATTTTCCTCACTCAGAGAGCTCTGTTACTCTTTACTGCTTCAGCAAGCAGCATAGATCCCAAATAGCCTTCACGGTCCCAACCAGACCACTGAATGGAAGCAGTTTGATGGTGTCACAAATTGAAGACATATGTGCTGGCTCTCAAACTATGGTCCATAGCCTCGTAGCCACTGGTGGAATGTTCTCTTCTAGTACAGATATAGTGCTGGCTATTGACATGGTACTTGCTTTCCCTGTTTTCAGCCCCATTAAATGAAGTTAAAGATACATTTCTTATGTTGCATGGAAAAGCAATACTAGGGCATAACCTCTGCAAGCCTGAAAGGACAAATTTGAAGCCAAATGTGTGGATCAGGTAAACCTGATCTTATGTGTAGAAGTACTTATATTTTAAATTGGTGAAGATGCAAAGATTTCTTCACAACTTAGAGACCAGAAGGTAGCACCTGATGTGGTAGAGGCAGGCCAAAGGAAGGGCTAAAGAAGCTTGTCCCATGGCATTCTCTTTCTGAATAGATTCTGAACCAGTCTTTTCCTGACCTGCTTCTCTACAGGGGAACCTAGACCACACAAGGGATAGGCAGTGACCTTCTGTAAGCCACTGGTGACTAGGACTGGTTGGAAATTCTCTAACAAAACAGAAGTTTAATTGAAAATTTAGGTTTATTGAGCCAAAATGTTTTGCTCCAAAATATCTCATGTTCAGTTAACTGAATCCAAGGCATGGTTCTCAGGGTGTCTTGTCTCCATTCTTGGCTGCTCTGCCCCACAGCTGGGGATGCTGAAGGAGTGGGGTCCCAGGTCCTCCATACACATCTAATTGGTCTACAGAGACCCTAGAGGCCAGTAATCTTCAGCAACTCAATAGAAGTGATGCTTTTATCAGTTGCACAGTGCAAATGCAGGGTTGGGAATTTAAAAAAAATTGGTTTTGATCTGATTCAAACAAAACTCAAAATTTCCAAACTATATTTCCTGGAACTAGTAAACCCTGGTTTTGGATTCTAATGGCGAGTGTATGTTTGTGCTGGTACCTAGAGGATACAAATTGTTACAGTCCTCAGCTTCAAATTGTAGCAGTTTTTACTTTTAGGTCTGTTGATCCCTGGAGCTTCTATCAAGATGGGGATACTGTCACCACCCATATGGTATATGCTCTGAGGAGCGTGCCCATGCATACAGTTATCCAGGAAAGCAGGAGACAAAATTTAGTAATTCGATACTTCAACCGTTGGTAAGATTCCTCATTATCCATTTTTACTGAGACATTTTCACTTAGTTCACTATGCAGAGATCTGATAATCATTTACGTTTGAGTTAAAACTACAACAGAGATTGATAGAGAGATAAATATAAGATACCGAGTATCCCAAGGTTATGTGTTAGGAAGAATGCTGTGTAGGTTTTTTCTTTTCAAATAAAATGTCAATTTAATCAATAGTAAACTGAGCTGAAAACACCACACAGCTCCGAAAATGCTTCAGGAAGACATCCAATATTTTTGGGATTCAGGCCAACAAAAATGGAAAGAACAGAAGGTAGCGTAGGTGGGGTAAATGGGGCCTGGCTGCTGCCTCATCAAGTGCTCATAACAGTCAAAAACATATAACAACCTGTTAGAAACATATTGGGGGGTTCATTTAATAACTGGCATGTAGCAACACCTTCTTTCATTTATATTTTGTCATTAACATTGTAGTAAGTCTTCAAAGGCAAAACTTACCGGTCTTTTCCCGTCTCCTCCTTAAATACAGCATCACAGTAACTCATGCGCTTTTCTGTCGTCACATAGATTTTGGCACTGGGGTAGCTGTCAACAGTTTTCTTCAGCATGTTGTACACAATGCCATTGCCATCTTTCCTCATGTTCCGGAAAGGCCCCCAGATGACATAGATTGTGCTGTTGGCTTCCCTAAAAAAGTACTCCGGATTCTTGAGCAACAGGGGCACACTGGTGTGAGAGACCACTCTTATTGTTGTCCTCTTCCCAACATCCTCCTCATAGCCCTTGGTAGGAGCATTGTTCATTCTCCATATACAGGAGGACTGGTCAATCTCAATTCCCACTTTCTGGGCAGCCATCTGACCCGAGTTTGAAACAATGGCACAAAGGTCACAGTCCAGTTGTAGAGGCTGAAAGAGAGAGGACATAATATATGGTACATCTTCACTCTTAGAAACTGAAGATTGAATGTTTACTTTAAAAAAGGCACAGTCCAATCAACTGGCTGCAAGATGCTGTCAAAACGCTTCGATTCCCATGCATAAGAGCAGGTGCTGACGTATACTGTGGCCAAGCACTAAGATTTTCTACCAAAATAATCACCATATGCTAATCATTTGCTTTATGTTTTCCACATTGCAATATTATATATATATATGAGTTAGTGGTATAGCCATTTTAAGCTGTATGCAGCCATGCACTTGTGTTTGATCACAGCTTTAAATTTCTTTCTGTGCCTGGATTGGGCAAAAAGCGTCACTTCTGCCTGCACCCTCTCGCTCTTATGTTCTTCCATGTGAAATACGTGTCCTCCAAAGAGAACCTATAAACATTTTGTCTCCAGGAAAAAAAAGTCATGTGCTCTAAACTGGTTTTATAAAGGTATTGACACAATATCTTCATGGGATTAGATTACAGCAGAATGTCTGTAGGAGAGAGACTACATATCTGATTATTATTACAAATTAAACAGCCATTCATCCAGACATATTAATGAAGTATTCCGTCAGTGCACAATTACATTTCCATCAATAATTTTCTGGGTTTTAAATCTATTACTGACAACAATCTTTTAAGATAAAACATCCAACTAACTCATATATATATGGGTTATATATACATAGGTTAGTTGGATGTTCTGTTTCTTTACATATCTATGTAAAGACTGGTGGCCCATGGACTAGAACGGGGGCAGGCAATTATTTTGGGCAGAGGGCAACTTACTCAGTTTTGGCAAGCTGTCACGGGCCGCATGGGTAGCCCTGCCCCCTGGTCACCATCTTGGGACCAACGTCCCTCTGTCTTTGGTCCCAAGACATTGGGACATTGGTCCCATGTCCCAGGGCCAGCACCAGTGGAGCCCAAAGCAGGGCACAGGCAGGCAGGGGTCTGTGGAGCTGGGCTGGGCTGCAGCAGCAGGGAGAGGGGGGAGCTGGCTCGGCTCCATATAGCCCCTGCCATCTGGGACCCCATGCACCTGCCATCCTGCTCTAGGCCCTGCCAGCACTGGCCCTGGGACACCAGTGGAGTCCCCATGCTCCCGCTGGCTTCCTGCCCACTCACTCCCAGTGTCCCCCAGCCCTGCAGTACAGGCGGAGGGCAGTACACAGCCCCGACCCCCTGCTCGCTGGCAGGGAAGAAGCTGGTGCTGAGCATGGGGAAAAGCAGCCCCTTGCCTGCCCCATGGCCAGCACTCCATCCTGCAGTCACTTGCAGCCCAGGTGGAGCTGTTCTGAGCTGGCACAGGCAGCCCCATGTGGGCTGCAAGTGGCTACAGGACGGGGCGCTGGCCATGGGGTGAGTGAGGGACTGCTTTTCCCCATGCTCAGCACCAGTTTGAAACCTGCCCCTGCTGCCAGCCTGGGCTCTGCATTGGCTCTGGGCTCGCCTGTTGGGGATGCACATGGCAGCAGCAGCTGTCGCCCCCCTGCGTGCTGTGCCAGGCAGGATTTGCTGCTGCTGCCCACTCGGAGCATATGCTGGGCAGCCCAGAGGTGGTGGTGGCAAACACAGTGTCCATGGCAAGCCGGTGGGGGGGCAGGGGGGCCCACAGCTGCTGTTGCATGGAGCCCAGAGCTGCGCAGAGCCCAGGCTGGCAGTGGGGCTGGGTTACAAGGTGGTGCTGAGCGCAGGGAGGGGTGGAAAAGTGGCCGCTCACCCGCCCTGTGGCTGGTGCCCCACACTGCAGCCGCTCACAGCCCAAGTTTGGGGCTGCCTGTGCTTGCTCCGGACAGCCCCATGTGGGCTGCAAGTGGCTGCAGCAGGGAGCGCAGGCCATGAGGCAGGGAAGAGCTGCTTTCCTCTGCGCTGGGAAGGAGCAGGGAAGGAGCCTGGAGAAAAGCTGAGTGCGGGGGGTGTGTGTGGAAAGCAGCCCCTCCCCCACCCTGTGGCTGGCACTCCCTGCTGCTGCTCACAGCCCATGTGGGGCTATCCAGAGCAGGCACAGGCAACTGTAGGTGGGCTGTGAGTGGCTGCAGCATGGGGCACCAGCCCTGGGGTGGGTGAGGGGCTACTTCCCCCGCCCCCCGCGCTCAGCTTTTCCCCAGGCCACTTTTCCCCAGGCTCCTTCCCTGCCTGGGGTCCTCCCATGCCCTTCCCCCCACCTTCCCCTTTACCTGAGGTTCCAGTGTGGGGCAGTCATGTGGTCCCAAGCCAGAAGCCCCTGCTTGGGCTTCCAATTGGGTGGGCCCTGCTGTTGTGGGAACCTGCCGGGCTTTCCCTGGGTCCTATTGCCCTTGCTTCCTGTCATTTTTGACAGGAATCAAGTGCAGAGAAATATTCATTTTCTAAATTTTTTTACGGGCCCTGTGGGCTGGATAGAATGGCCTCGTGGGCTGGGTGCAGCCTGTGGGCTGTATTTTGCCCACCCCTGGACTAGAAGCTTGACCCCTGGGCCCAATGAGGTCAGAGGGAAAATTTTACATCTCCTTATGTCTAAAATGGAAACAACAGTAGTTACCTCCATCACACAGGTACTGGAATTATTCCATTCTATTTGCTACAGTTATGGAGAATCCACTGATGCCCAAGAACTGTAGGACTGGGACCTACATATTTATAAAGTACCTTGAAAATGAAAATCATGACATATATAAATGGGACTATGTGAAGCATTAGGCTAGAATCCCAAATCTGCTTGAGAAGCAGATTCATTTTAAGAGAAACAGCATGCAACTGGGATGATATTGTACAAGCCCTCCATTCATCCCATAGCCATGGTTAGGGAACCCTCCAACACTGCCTGTGATCATGACCTGAAATTCTTTCCTGCAGTCCAGCAGCCTGTTAAAGTTCTTCAGGGGTAGCACATCCACTTCCTTTCTTAACAGAAGCAAGGACTATACATTTGGTCTTTGCTTTGCACACAATGTAAGTGTTGTATAACAGCAATGAGGGAGCCCTTTATATAGCTGATATTAATCAGTGTCCCAGAGATGTTGGGTACATCCACACGAGCATGCATGTGCATCTTACAGCGTCTCAAAGCCCTTTAAGATGTTGCAAGAGGCACATGCGGGAACAAAAAAATGTTCCCTGCACTGCAAGTTTGCAGCATAGGGGCAAAATTAGACCCCTGGATATCCAAGGATAAAAAAAATGGTGCCAGGAAACAAGCACCATCTTGGACCATGCCCAGAGGCAACTGGGAGAAGGAGTCCTCCAGAGAGACACTCTGGCATTGGGCCAGAGCATCTCTATTGCTCCCCCTTGCCCCAGCAACTGAGCATGCCCCTTGAACATGCTCAAGAACAAAAGTGGGGCAAGGCTCGGAGCTTGCTTGTGGGTAGTTAGTTGGAGTAACAGGTAGTGTCTGGAGAAGTTCCAGAGTCTGGAAGAGTGGAGGCTGAACCCATGGGAGATCAAGGTAAGAAGGGGGAGGGTGGGAATGGGAACTTTCTCTCTAAAAGGGAAACCTAGGTTTTCCTCTTTGCAAAGGGCTCTTTGCAGGCTTCCAGTCTCAGCCTGCAAGAGTCGCTTGCAAATTGGGGAGAAGTAAGAGGCAGAAGCCATGGAGCCCACCTTGCCCAATGACTTGTACGAGTCCCATTGTACGGGTGGGGGACCGGGAGGCGGAAGCTGCGCCATGTGTGGGGTCTGGGGGCTTTTGGCCAGGTGTTGTGGGGGGGCCCACATTCCTGCCCCAACCCCTGCCACTGCCACCACAAAAGGCAACTGCAGGACCATGAGCGGCGAGTTGTGGGCCTACACATGGTGCAGGGTGCTGACCCAGCCTGATGCCACATGCCCCACCTAGTGCAGGATCACATGGTTCTTGCTGCTACCCCTGGCCACATGTGGTGGCAAGAATTCGCCTGGTCCTCCCTGAGGTGATGGCACATGGTATTGGGCCTGGTTGGCACCCTGCAGGGTGCCAACCTGGCCTGATGTCCATGCCAGGCAAGAACCAGTGCAGTCCTGCCTGAAGTGGGGCATGTGGCATAGGGCTGGGCTGAGTCAGCACCCTGTGCCACATGCAGCAGAGAAGCAAGCGGTGGTGGGTGCCGCTGGCTGACTCTGCCGGGAGCAGCCATTCAGCACAGGAACAGTCTCGTGGCTGCCTGATGCGGGGGAGAGGGGGCACAGGCGCATGTGTGACTGTCTCTCTCCACCCCCCCACCACATAAAAATATCCAGATGTCATTAAAGCACTGCTTAGCTTTTTTTCTCTCTTGCTCGCTTTCCTTCATATATGTGTATGTGTATATAGTGGGGTTCCAGTTTACTAGTGGAAGTTCACGGGTATTTGGGGTTTGCTTTCTAATGCATGCAATTGGGATTTGTTAATCTGAAGTTTGAAATTTGTAAACAGGGAACCTCAGGATCCATGCCAGTGAGGCAACTGGTGGGACCTTGGCACAGGAGCCTGGCCAGAGCCAGCACCAGGGACCCATCTGGAGGGCAGACTAGGTGGCCAACCTCCTGGCCGTTTGGGGCCAGGAAGACACACTTCAGCAGTTTAGAGCAACTCACTGTAATGAACACATCTATCAGGTGATAGCTGCCCAGATTGCAGAGCAGGGCACCAGAAGACATGGCAGCAGTGCTGCACAAAGGTGAAGGCATTACGGTGGCAATTTAGAATCATAGAATCATAGAAGTAGGGTCGGAAGGGACCTTGTAGATCTTCAAGTCCGACCCCCCACCTGGGCGGGAGAAAAACTGGACTCAAATGGGTCCAGCCAGGTAGGCATCAAGCCTCTTCTTAAAGACCCCCAGGGTAGGAGCCAGCACCACTTCCCTTGGAAGTTGGTTCCAGCTCCTAGCCACCCTAACTGTGAAATAGTTCTTGCGGATGTCTAATCTAAACCTACTCTCCAATAACTTGTGTCCATTATTCCTTGTTATGCCAGGGGGTGCCAGGGGAAACAATGTCTCCCCCAAAGCCTTCTGGTCCCCCCTAGTGAGTTTA